TGTCCAAACCCCATCCTGTCTGTGAGGCCACTGTCTCCTGCAGGTGTCACTCCCTGCTGATTTAGACTTTACACCCCCAGTGAAGTGGGAGGATGTCCCCAGCTGGAAGAGCACTCAGTGCTTTACAGACCCTAGAAAATCAGCAAGCATTGGAAAGCTGTGTCAGCCTGTGGGTGCGGTACCTGGGCAATCCCACTTCCGTTATTGTGAGACTTCCCAGTGCCATTCCAGGGTTTAATTTTGACTTCCTTTGTGTGACCTTGAATAAAACCTCTCTGTGGGAATGATTTCTGAATAAACCTACGCCAAGTATGCAGTACCAGAGGTGGCAGAGCAGTCTGCAAGTGGCCGAGTTACTGCGTCTTTGCTGGTTAATGTTTGTTGACCGAGCAGTGGGGACTGATAACATCAGCCAAGTAAAGCCTGGAGTCTTAAAACCATCCTGATGGTTGCGGTGTGGTGGCTGGCCCTGAAGGACACAGTTCTGAATGTGGGACAGGTTCTGTTGGCAGGTGGGCATAGCAGGAAGAAAAGGAAACAAGACCAGGGTTACTGGGGCAGTGACCTGAATTACGTTGTTGCTTTTGTGAAAGGGTGTTGAGAGAGAATTTGGAGACCACCATGATGGCTTGGTGGCATTTTTGTGGAGCTCCTCCAAACCTGAGAGTGGGAATGGGTGGAGAAGAGAAGCTCTGAAGGTACACATGTGAAAGATTGTTAGCTTTGAGATGAGTGTGGTTAATTTCCTGGCTTTTTGCATCTGACTCACGAGGCACACACTGGTGAGCACACAAGAAAGAGTAAGCAGCAGCTCCAAGTAGTGTTCTCGGAAGGATTTTTGGCTAAGGGGTTTTTTTGGTTAGGATTTTTTGGTTTGCTCACTTTCACTCTTTAGCCAGCTTCTTAACCTTGTATTTACATGAACCAAACCATGTTGTTTGTTTTGGAAACTGGAGCACCCCAGGTAGCTGGACTGCTGTTGACAAGGGTTTTTTCCCTGGTGCATGGACCTGAAGTTCATTAGCATGTACTAATGTGGCTCTGCTGCCAAAGTGATCTGAAGTCTTGTGGCCAGCAGAAGGGGAGGCACTGCTGTCTTCCTTGCTGCTCACCAGCTCCTCTGGCTCCCCTGATGCGTGTGTACAGCAGGCATGTTTTAAATCCTGCCCCTGACAATATCTTAGTCTCAGTCTTAGCAAATATCAGTGGAATTTGGGCTTCTCAGTCACTTAGTATTTTTGAAGATGTTTTCCTGCAGCGCATCTTACTTCTTCTTCGATAAGATTACCCTTGAGACTACTACTAATAATTCCTCAATTAGGTGACCCACCTAGGGAGGATGGAGCTGAATCCTGCATCTATTAGCCATCACCAGCTTCTGGTCAGTAATAAACCGCACACATAAGGCAGGCCGGCCAGACCTTGCATGAGTGCAGATGAATTGCTCAGCTCCTCTGGAACGTACAGCCCTTGATCGGGCTCTAAGCGTGACTGTGTGACACGTGAAAAGATTCATTTGCTATGGCTGATGACAGCGAGGAGTTTGTATATACACACCTCTCTTTCGTTCAGCTTAAACGTTCAGTGTTTAGCATTTTACTGTTTTTTATTTTCTTGGGGAGGGACATTCCACCCCTACCCCAAGTTCCAGATTTTGGTTAAAAAAATAACCAACTCTATATATGAAAAATATGGATTCGTGTCATGGAAAAATAGAGGTGGCAGGGCTTCTGGTATATTAGGTGCAAACATAAGGAGAATCAGGTGTTCAGCACAAATATCCTCTGAAATAATAACCAAATGTTTTGTATAAAATAGTGTCTTATTAAGTAATAACAAAAGGCCAGAGAACAGTTCTGTTCATGGCTTGTGTTGAAAAATACAGCATGCAGTGACTGAGTCAGGCAGGCTGACGCTTGGGAATGGGATCGTTTGGTTTGTGTTTCAGAAGGAGGCCTGTCTGCTGCCGATGGGATGTGATTTTTTATTTGTTTTAAGTTGGTTTGCACACAGGGTTCTGGAAAGTCCGAGGGGTATTGTGAGGGGATATTGCCAGAGCGTTTGACAAACAAAAGCAAGTAAAATGATGGGAAGCTGTTCATTCATCGTGTGACAGGAGTTTTACCATCACTTTCCTTCTGCTGTTTGAGCATCATTAACAAAACCCACCCATGACAGTCCAACCAGGTTTCTAGCAGCTTGGGTAAGAATTTGCTGTTGGATCAGATGTCTGTAGCTGGGGGTAAAACAGGAATCAACGTGCTTCGTGTTTGAGCTGACAGGGAGGGAATGGGGAGGTGAGAAGCGGGTGTGCAGGGGACCGGGTAGTGGCGTACCTGTTTCTCAGTCATATGAGGTCAGTTGTTCCTGTTTCTCAGCAAGGATACTGTGCCCCTGACCTCAAAACATGGGGAGAATGAGATGAGAAACTTTATCATCCTGAGGCAGTTTTACAGCAGAGAAAGTAACTGCAGGACAGGTTGGGAATGACATCAGGCTTTTGCTGTCTTGTCTGTAGGGCTGCAGAAATCGCTGTGACTTACTCAGTCCTGTGGTGTTTCTTGTTGGTTTTGTTTTTCCAATTCCCTTTCTAATTAAACATAACATCTTTTTGCCTTTGCTTTTAGATTGCCCTGGTTCTCAGGGAATCTCACCTCTTGCTTGTCATTCACCAGCTGTTCCCACCTGGCTTAGCACTTTTACTCAGAACACTGCACCATGGCGTTTTCCTGCCTTAAGAGTGGCTTTTTCCTTTGTAGCCACTTCTTCCTTGCCCACGTCTTTGTGTGAAGGACCTCAGTGCAGATTAACATTTCTTCAGTTCCTAATAGCCTCGCAGTTTGGCTGGGCTCTCAAATATTCGGAAAGGTTGAGGAGAAGCATCACGCTTGTTCATAGGACATCTGCATCCCATGTAATGTCCTTTGTGTCCTGAGCTGTGAGTAGGGTTGCTCTAGAGAAGACCAGGAGTTAGTTCTTTGATGCTTATGAGTGCTCTTTTGCCTGGAATGTCTGCCCAAGCTTCTTGCTGTGGTACCAAGACCATCACAGGCTGGAGGAAGGTCTCTCCACTTGAAGCTTACTTCTGCTGCATTTCTCCTTAGTGCAAAGCTGAAGGGGTTGCTTCTAGTGTTGCTTCTAGTCAGGTGGTGTGCCTCAAATTTTTGGAGAGTGTTTTTTGCAGTCTCTCATATGGAGAATGAGATTTAAGGGTATCTCCTGACTGCTTTTTGAGGGTGTGTCTGCTTGGGCCCATGACTGTGATGCAGGGAGCTACTGCTGATGGAGCTACTTGTGGCACCAGCAACACAAGAGATGGGAGACAAGTAATTTGGGATTCGAGCTTTGCATTGTGGTGTAGCTGCTTATTTTGAATTAGCTCATGGAATTGCAGAAACAGCTAAGAAACTGTCAAAGAGAACAGCATGGAAAGAGAAGATGAGACAACTTAAAGTGGTTTAGATAAATGTTGTCAGCCTTTGCAATCAACAGGCTTGGTGCTTTGTGTGGATGACACACCATCTGGCATCAAGCTCAGCTGGATTTTTCTATGGACAAGAGGGAACGGCCTTAAGTTGTGCCAGGGAAGGTTTAGGTTGGATATTAGGAAAAAATTCTTCACTGAAAGGGTTGTCAAGTGTTGGACCAGGCTGCCCAGGGAGGTGGTGGAGTCCCCATCCCTGGAGGGATTGGAAGGACGTGTAGACATAGTGCTGAGGGACATGGTTTAGTGTTGAACTTGGCAATGCTGGGGTTACGGTTGGACTGGATGATCGTAATGGTCTTTTCCAACCAAACTATTCTAGGATTCTATGATGAGTCCTTCTGCAGGTGATGTTAGAGCTGTGGGCATGGAGATTGCACGTGCCCAGAGTGATGCCAAAAACTAACCCAGAGATGCATGGACAGGAACGTCCCTGGCACGAGGCACTGCGACTTGTGGATCTGCAGCACGTGCTGGGGACGTGCCTGTCCTTGGGACACGTATCTCTGTGTGCTTGGTTTTGCCTTGCCATCTGTAGCTTTGCAAGGTGAACAGTTGTGTTTAATCTTTGATACAATTGCTGATGTGACCTGTTTGTTATGTGACAAAAGTGGCTGCTGCAGTCGGTTGGTGTCAGCTGGCAGCAAGGCCCAGGAAATCAGGGTTTTCCTCTCAAAACGCCCGCAGAGCCCAGTCTGGGGCCTTTATCTCCCTCCTTGAGGAGCATTTTTTACTGCCACCTGGATGGAGATGAAAAAACTAATTTCCAGGCCAGTTAGGACACTGACAGGAAGGGAAATGGCCTGTTGAGAAGTAAAAGCACGAAGTTGAAAGACTAAAAAATATTTTCAAAACCAAATTCTGGTGTGCTGTCAGTAGTACCAGCAGAGTACTTCCAGGCAGCTGCCGATACTCTCTGGACATGTGTACGTATATAAACTACATTTCAGAATCTATGCGAAGTGGTTTGAACTTTGACTAGCCTGAGTTTGCTTCAGAAATGCAAAATATTCTTTTATAACACGTAATAATAAAGTTTATACAGCAATAGGATGGAAGGAAAAATCTTATGAATAAAAAAAGACCAATTTGCATCTGGTGCTTCTTGTGGGATGGTGTTGAAGGTACCAACTAACAAGACACTAAAGTGTCTTTTGCCTAAGATCTTGTAAGTTAGGTTTTTAAACTTGTATCTGCAAAATAATCAGCATATGTTACGCTAGCTGGTTTTGTGACAAAATAAACTGTTTGATTTAAAAAAAAAACAACCCCAAAACTAACATTTTACCAGCATGTTTGGTTTTTTTCTCTAATACTTTGTTATCCTTTTGGTGTTATTTTTATGTCAGTAAATTTTTAGGTATCTCTCTTGCAGGCTGAAAAGCCTGGATATAGGGGGTTTTTTTAACTGATTCCCCCTGCCATGTGTTAATTAAAACAGTCTTTATTTAATTTGAGCTTTCAGTAGTTTTAAAGTTTCAATTTCTATTAATTTTTTGTTGTTGTTCTTTTTCAGGTCAGATGTACAGTTGCCTGTAAGTATCATTCTGTTGCTCAATTATTTTTTTTTTTAATAACTCTCATTATCTTAATTTCTTTTAAGAAAGACAAACAGTATCAGCCAAGTATTTAAAAAAAGCTTCCTGAAAATAATTTTTAGAAATAGCATTCAAAAATGTAAACTTGCTTATTTTAGTGACAGTAATTCCCGCAGTGCATTTAAGGATATTTAAAGATATAAATGTGTATTTTAATCCCTTTGCTTTTCAGTCTGTAAAGAGTTCTGGTAAAATCAAGTACAGATATAATGCACTTAGGAAGACAGGAAAATATACTGAAAGGCAGTATATAATAACTGTATATAACAGTATATAATAAAGGCAATACAAAATAAACAAACCCCCAAACCAAAACAGGCACTCAAAGTGATGCTTCAGGGATTTGCTGAAGTGAATGTAGCAACTGCTGTACTTGCCAAGGGGACAGATTTTCATGTGGCAGGGATTTCCAGAAGTACTTGCAGCTGAGTTCTGCCTGGATGGTGAACACCAGACTGGCACGAGGCAGCCTTTAAATCTTAGGGCCTGAACCAGCTCTCTCCAGTTTGGGCTGTGCTACATCAACCTGACGTTGTTTTCTCTAGGTGTACTGTGTCTCTTCCTTACTTGTAGGAACACACTGCACACATGAGAACTTTTTTTCTCATACACTGAGGGCAAGAGCCCAAATTGCTATTCCAGGTTAAGTAAAGCTTGCTAGCTTTTGATAATACATGAGAAATACACCTGCAGAATGTGGCTGCAAGTTTGTTCAATTCTTTCCAAACAAAACTGCACTAAAAAAAGAGCAGGGCATGGTAGCTTTCATCCAAACCATGAATAGAGTCAGTGAATGACCAAAATAATGTGGCAATCTCTTAACAGAATGCAAATCCTCTGGCAGAAGTTAAAAGTGGTAAAACCAGGTGATGTGCAGTGAAATCTCTGTAGGAGAACAAACTGGGAGAAGAGAAGTGACTGCATGTCTGTGCATGGTATCTATAAATGACTGTACTTCTGCAACTGGGAAACCTGGAAGCTTTGTCAAAGTATTTACAGCTTTTTGTATTCTTTCTTTCAGGCACTGAGGATTGCAGTTCAAAAAATGTAACTGCAGAAACGGGAACCAGCAGTAACGATAGTTTATCTGTGAACTCTACAAGTGGGAACAAAAGCTCTGGAGGTGGAAGGTTGTCCAGGAATGTGTCACTATCTGACAGTGCAATAAGTGATGAGAACAATGTAACATGTAAGTGGTTGGGATTATGACTGGGATGTAAATCTTCAGGGTGTTTTGTGCTTTTATGCTGTATGAGCATTTTAAGCCCGAACTCTAGTTCAGAGTGCAAAGAGCACGCAGGGGTGTGGATCCAGCTGCCCTACTGGAGTAGAGAATGGGCCAAAGAGATGTATCTGCACAGCTGACAGGAGTGCAGTTTGACACTGGTTACTGCGTGGCCTTGAAAGAGATTTATCACTGTTAGACTTGGGCTCCCTTCCCTGCTCACTATGGCTTTTTAGGTTACTGCTGCAGCAGCTTAAACACGCTGTGACACGCAGGTGTGAAATACATACATAACTGAGTACAGCTGAAGTGCTCTACCTAGCATAGAGGGTATTGTGTATCTAGAGGAGAGCTGGGTGAATCTTGCAGCTCTGAAGACTCTTCTCCTTGTAATAGCCTGCTTAGGAAAAAATAACAGCAGGTTGTGAGATCCAGTCTTTCCCAGCACCGTGTGTGAAGCTGACAGCTGAGGCAGGACGGTAATCGCTGCTGCAGCGGGACAGCTTTACTCGTTGAAATGAAGTGAAACTTGCGGAGGTAGAGGAAGAGTAAATTGCAGAGCTGGCAGGTGTGTCCTGCAGTGTAAAGGATGACTTGTTTATTTTCCAAGGCCAATTACTGTTTTACAGGAACCTGTTGTTTGGTCAGGGAGGGGAGAAGAGTGCTTCATGTGTTTGTCAGCAAATTTCTTGCAAGATAAAAGACTTTTTTTTTCTTTTTTTCCTCCCCCTCCTTGCCTTTCACAGACCCCTTCCCATTTCTGGCTCTCAAGGTAGAACATGTTGGCGTGACTTCTGTCAGCTTAACGTGGGCAGTGAATGACACTGCTTCCAACTCCTACACGTACAGGATAGAGGTTGTAAATGGTAACTCTACTTGGAGCCTGACGTCCAATGTCACCCAAACTGAAATCACGGAGTTAATCCCTGGGACGTTGTATAATTTCACGGTATTTGCAGTAGTGAATGATAATGAGACAGAAGGAGAAGGCGTGTCCATCAGCCTGTATACAAGTAAGTCACAGCTTCTTGCAGCTCTGTTTCTGGTGAACTGTATTTTTCTGTCTGGCTCAGGGCTCTACCTACATATGTGAGGATAGTAATTCATTACTATCGTGTGTAGACATGACATTTAGTCCTGGAGCCTGATCTGGACTATATGCAAAGGGTGAGATGTTATTGTGCAGCAGAAACATAGCTCCAATGTTTCTGTTTTCTTTTTAATTACCTTCCTTCTCCTCCATCCTTGTTTCTTTCCTGCCCACCTCTCCAGATTCCCAAGGGAAGCCCTGGGAGTGCTGTCAGAGTGATGGCCTGTGCTTCTGCTTTGGAGTGTCAAAGGGAGTTTAATCCCCCTCAGAATGACTTCTCTTCAGTTCTCTCTTAGCTGCTATTGAAGCAAAAGCATCCAGGAGCGTCTGGTGATGATGTTTGGGTGCTCCTGCACTCTGAACAGTGAGTGATGTGAAGAGAGTGGAGCAGTGCTGTGCCTGTGTTTCTTCTGTCTGTGTGTGTGAGCCGATGTTCTTGCAGACTGACAGTTTGTTGTCTTGCCTTTCACAGAGCCCAGCCCAGTTCTCAATCTCAAGGCAGAACATGTTGGTGTGACTTCTGTCAACTTAACATGGGCCGTGAGTGATGCTGCTTCCAACTCCTACACGTACAGGATAGAGGTTGTGAATGGTACCTCTGTTAGGAACCTGACGTCCAATGTCACCAGAGTCGAAATCACGGAGTTAACCCCTGGGACGATGTACGAGTTCACAGTATTTGCAGTGGCAGCTGATGGTCACACGGAAGGGGGGGGCATGTCCATGAGCCTGTACACAAGTAAGTCTCAGTTTCTCACAGCCCTGTTCTGCTGGGCAGCTCAGAGCTCTGCCCACCTGCCTGAAGGCTGAAATATAAAACTTGTATATAAACATGATATTTTAATCCTGGAACCTAACCTGGACTGTCTACTAAGCATGGGGTCTTAATGTATGGAAGAAACATATCCCTGCTTTAAAAAAAACAACAAACAAACAAAAACCAAAACCAACAAAAAAACGAAACAGGAAAAAGAAGAAAAAGGCAAAACCAGCCAAACAAAACCTGCCTTCCTTTCCCTCCATCCCTCCATCCTCATTTCCTTGTATCTCCTCATATGGGAGATAACTTCTTGTCACAAGTATTCCATGAGCCAACTAGGAAAGGTGCCCTCCTAGACTTGCTATTTGTGAATAGAGATGGGCTCATGGCAGATGTGGTGGTAGGTGGCTGTCTTGGCCACATTGATCATGAAATGGTTGAGTTTACATTTTTCAGTGTAATGAGAAAAAAAGACAGCAGAGTTGCTACCCTCGACTTGAAGAGAGCAAACTTCAAGCTATTCCGGGAGCTACTTAGAAGAGTACCCTGGGAATCTACTTTTGAGGCTAAGGAGTGCTGGTCAGTTTAAGAACCACCTTTTAGAAGCACAGGAGCAGGCAATTCTGCTGTATTGAAGGTCAGGCAAGTAGGGTAGAAGACCAGCTTGGCTGAACAGGGAAATCCTCACGAAGCTTAAGAGCAAGAAGAAACTGTATGACGTCTGGAAGCAAGGTCAGGCTTTGCGGGAAGATTCCAGCGCTGTGGCTTGTATACGCAGAGAGAAGACATAGAAGGCCAAAACTCAGTTAGAGCTGAAACTGGCCAACGTTGTGTCAGACAAGAAAAGAGGCTTTTTTAAGTACATTAAGAGTAAGAGGAGGTCTAAAGAAAACATTGGACCAATACTTGCTGAAGATGGTCACCAGATTAATAGGGATGAAGAAAAAGTAGAGGCATTCAATGCTTTTTTTGTCTCAGTCTTTGATAATATAGATAGACCTTGGGCTGCCTGGTCCCCTGAGTCGGAGGACCATAGGTGTAGGAGCAGTGACTTTCCATTTGTGGACACTGAAATTGTAAGATGCCAGACATATCAGCTGAATGTTCACAAGTCCATGGAACCTGATGGGATATATCCCAGAGTTCTGAAGGAGCTAGTGGATGTTACAGCAGGGACCTTCTAGATGATCTACCAAAGGTCTTGGGAGTCTGGGGAGGTCCCTTCTGACTGGAAGCTAGGCAGTGTTACTGCAGTTTACAAGAAGGATGGGAGGGAAGAACCAGGAAGCTACAGACTTGTTAGTCTAACCTCAGTTCCTGGAAAAATTATGGAGAAGATCATACTGGGTACTATTGAAATGCATTTAAAGAATAATGCAGTCACTGGACAGTCAGCATGGGTTTACAAAAGGCAAGTCCATTTAACTCATTTGATATCCTTCTGTGATCCCAGAGCAGAGACAATCCCGAAACTGCAATCCTGGAAGACAGAGAGCCCGAGTGATCCCCCAGCTTTCCAGAGCACCCTCATTAACGCACTGAACGTGCCGTTACATGATGTGGAATATCCCATTGACACATCCACATGCCAGTTTGGTTTGCTGATTTACTACACTCCCCACGAGTTTCTTCTGCACCTGCAGACTAGCAAAGCATGGGAAGTTGGAAAGGTCCTTAATTTTCTTAGCAACAACTAAAAACATCAGTATGTGATCAACATTCTTCTCATAACAAATCCCACACTGAAACCAAAACACTGCTGTTCTAGCTAGTAAGAAGACAATGCTCTCTGCCCTTATGAAAGCAGGACAAATGTATCTATTGATGGTCTGGATGCAGGAGTCGAATGCACCAGTAGCAATTTTGCTGATTGATACCAGACTGGGAGGTGCTGCTGACATTCTTGAGGGACAAGAGGCCTTGCAGAGGGATCTAGATAGCCTGGAGCATTGGGCAATGACTAAGGGGATGAAATTTACAAGTGCAAATGCCAGATTCTGTACCTGGGACATAGTGATGCTGGGCACAAGTATAAATTGGGAGAGGAGTGGCTGGAGAACAGCCCTGCAGAAAGGGATCTGGGGGTGCTGGTTGACAGGAGGCTCAACGCGAGTCAGCAGAGTCCCTGACAGCCAAGATGGCAAATAATATCCTGGGGGGCACCAAACACAGCATGACCAGCTGGTCAAGGGAGGTGATTATCGTGCTCTGTTTGGCATTGGTGCGGCCTCACCTCGAGTACTGTGTGAAGTTCTGGGTCACAGAATTTAAGGAGGACGTTAAAGTACTCAAGTGTGTCCAGAGGAGGGCAACAGACCTGGTGACAGGGCTGGAAGGCAGGTCCTGTGAGCAGCAGTAAGGACTTTAGGCTTGTCCAGTTGGAGAAAAGGAGGCTGAGGCGTGACCTCGTGGCTCTCTACAGCTTCCTGAAGAGGGTAAGTGGAGAGGGAGGCGCTGAGCTCTTCTCCCTGGGATCCAGCGATAGTACATCTGGGAATGGTTCAAAGCTGTGCCAGGGAAGTTTGGACTTGATGTTAGGAAGCATTTCTGTACCGAAGAGGGTGGTCAAACACTGGAAAAGGCCTCCAGAGAGGTGATTGATGCCCCAAGACTGTCAGTGTTTGAGAGGCATTTGGACAATGCCTTCAGTTATAGGCTTGAAGTCTTGGTCAGCCCTGGAGCGGTCAGGCAGTGGGACCAGATGATCATCCCTTCCAAATGAAACTATGCTGTTCTGTACTGTTCTATTTCCTGCCCACCTCTCCAGATTCCCAAGGGAAGCCCTGGGAGTGCTGTCAGAGTGATGGCCTGTGCTTCTGCTTTGGAGTGTCAAAGGGAGTTTAATCCCCCTCAGAATGACTTCTCTTCAGTTCTCTCTTAGCTGCTATTGAAGCAAAAGCATCCAGGAGCGTCTGGTGATGATGTTTGGGTGCTCCTGCACTCTGAACAGTGAGTGATGTGAAGAGAGTGGAGCAGTGCGGTGCCTGTGTTTCTTCTGTCTGTGTGTGTGAGCCGATGTTCTTGCAGACTGACAGTTTGTTGTCTTGCCTTTCACAGAGCCCAGCCCAGTTCTCAATCTCAAGGCAGAACATGTTGGTGTGACTTCTGTCAACTTAACATGGGCCGTGAGTGATACTGCTTCCAACTCCTACACGTACAGGATAGAGGTTGTGAATGGTACCTCTGTTAGGAACCTGACGTCCAATGTCACCAGAGTTGAAATCACTGAGTTAGTCCCTGGGACGTTGCATAATTTCACAGTATTTGCAGCAGTGAATGACAGTCAGACGGAAGGGGAAGGCGTGTCCACCAGCCTGTATACGAGTAAGTCACAGTTTCTTGCAGCTCTGTTTCTGGTGGCTCATGTTTTGCTGCGTGTCACAGGGCTGTGCCTACCTGCCTGAGGGTTGAAATAGAATACAAGCATTACCTGAACAGTGAGTGATGTGAAGAGAGTGGAGCAGTGCTGTGCCTGTGTTTCTTCTGTCCGTGTATGTGAGCAGATAATTCTTGCAGGTTGACAGTTTGTTGTCTTGCCTTTCACAGAGCCCAGCCCAGTTCTTGATCTCAAGGCAGAACATGTTGGTGTGACTTCTGTCAACTTAACATGGGCCGTGAGCGATGCTGCTTCCAACTCCTACACGTACAGGATAGAGGTTGTGAATGGTACCTCTGTTAGGAACCTGACGTCCAATGTCACCAGAGTTGAAATCACGGAGTTAACCCCTGGGACGATGTACGAGTTCACAGTATTTGCAGTGGCAGCTGATGGTCACACGGAAGGGGGAGGCGTGTCCATGAGCCTGTACACAAGTAAGGAAATGGTGCCTCTCGATTGCAAGTAAACATGCAGTTTGTACCCATTGCCAGGCTTTTTTACCCAGGTTTCCAATTTTTTACTATTTCTCATTGCAACTTTGCTTTTCTCCAGGTGCCTGTGTGCATGAGTACCAGGCGGTCTTTGGTAAAGGGAAAAGGACTGAGATTGTGTCTGTGTGCACGTGTTGCCTGTAAAGCAGTTATTTCATCAGCTTGGCTGCGCAAGACCATGTAGAGATCCAGCTGCTATGACAGCAGGACTTTCTCTAGACGTGAGGGCTGAATGGGCTCCCTACAATGCTCTAGGAGCAGATTGTCACAGCTTACAGCAAAGGACAGATGGTCTGCAGGGAGGTGGAGGCTTTTTATTCTTGAAGATTGTTCTTTGCTCTTTGCAGAGTCCCTGGCCTGGGGCTCCTGTGGGCTGTGACAGTGCCTAGGGCCACGTGGTCAAGTTGATGCCGTTTTTGTCGGCTTTGCTCCATGGCACCTTTTTCCCAGATCAGAGGGACAGATGGGAGGAGAAGGGTGGTTTTTGGTGGTGTTTTTTGGGTGTCTAGCTCAGGAGTGGAAAGGGAACAGGCAACATCCCTGCAAAGCAATTAGAAGCCGTGTGTCCTGGAGCAGCTACTGAGTAGATGAGCTTGTCTAAGCTGCCTGAGGTGAGTCTTGTCTGCCTAGGGTTGATGCTGAATTAGGCTTGCAGGGTGGATCAGCTGTTGGACCTACTCAAGGACCCCATTTCCTTCTGCTGATATTGGGGAGAGGCTGGACTGAAGGGCCCTGATTGAGACTCGCTGGCACAATTTTGAGTTAACAGGCCAAGATCACTCGG